CACAAACATATGAGAGAAAAGCCATAGCATTGTTGATGAATGTATTTAACTTTGCCACTTGCTTTCATTTCTATGCCCAACCACTTATTGTGAACATTATATTCTTATTTCAACAGAAATCCAAAATGCATGATTGTCATTTTAAAAGCACAGTAACAGAGGATTGACAGACTTTTCAAAAGGAAACTATTGTTAAAAAATCAAGATGTTTGTAAATGGTACGAGCGAAATCTACTGTTATGCAATTTCTCTTACTAGTACCACGAGTGTCTTGAATGAACAATTCAGACACATGCATGAGACTCAAATCTAAAACACCAATGAGAGAACAGCGACCCTTCTTACCAGAGGTTGTCTGGACAAAAAGCAGGTCAATCTGGCTTGTGAGGGAGCAAGACCCTCCTCTCAACTTTCCAGACACTCATGGAAGGAAAAAAAAAAAAGAAAAAAAAAGAGAGGCTGGACTGATGTATGGCCAACATGAATGAGTTTAAACCCGGCACTTGATAGCATGCCAGACTGAAAGGAACAGGCTTCCATACTTGGCTATTGCGGATTCTTGTTCTAAAATAAATTTGTTATTTTGTGTGTGTATTCTGCTCTTAAATCTCTGACCTAGGATTTGTCTGAAAAACACAACTTTAACACAAAAATGTCTCTGGGGGCCACACTTCTAAAAAAAAAAAAATGGCCTTGCTTGGATGACACATCATGTCTTCAATTGACTGGACAGTATTTACTGCTCAGCTACAGTGTGCTTAGATTGCAGACATGTTGCAGAGATCTAAGATATCACTGTATAGAAAAAATTGTTTTCATTACTGATTAATCAACAATTACTTTTTTTAACTAATGTTAAACCAATGCAAGGGATCTTCAGATGTCTTGTTTTGACCCAACACCAGATTTTTCACCATTTCGACTTTAAAATGACTAAATGACTGATTATTGAAACTAAGTGCATCAGAATCAAAGGGCAAAGGTTTCTTTCAAGACACTGTTTTGCAACATTGTTCAACCATAATTCAATGACAAAATGTGTTGTTTTGAACAATGGAAACACAGATGCTGCCATCGCAAGACTGCTACAGTTCTAAATCAAGAAAACTTAGGAAATTAAAAAAAAAAAAAAAAGTTATTTAAAGGGGCTATATGTGAGTATTTTTGTTTAAAACATTCAAAAAATAACTAAGATCAGCAACAGAATGCGAAGAAATAAAAGTTTTGACATTATACCAGAGATGTCTATTTATTGTGTTGCAGAGATATCTACTGAAGTTAGCATGCTAACTAGCTAGCCACAGCCTATCCCATTTTGTAATACCAGTTTGTACCTCAAAAGGCGATGGTGAGTCACTGCAGCGTCCATTTGGCCCTCAGTCCAACCTGAGAGGATGAAGAAGTAGCACCTGCGAGTAGGATATGAACCTGCGTTGTAGCCGCCCACTCCTGGAGACAGTCCTCCGCTCTTTCTGGAGCAGCAGCTTGAACAAAGTCCCTCGCCATCCTCAACCTCTCTCTTCTCCTGCAACCACTGCATCTTCCCTGTCTCTCTCCGACTTTGCAGACTGGGTGTGAAATCATCATCGTCAGTCTAACAATAACTGAAGAAGACAACCTACCTGTTACATTATCACATTGCAAGGCAAACATGCGTGGAAAACATTAATCCCCAGTCCATTTCCATTTGGCAACATGTCAACAACTGCCGTAAACTGAGGTTAGATTCATTCAAGGTAGGGCTGTCATATCAGATTTTCACCACACAATTACTGTGGCCAAAAGAATTCACAATAATGACATCATCACAATATTTAATAATAATAATAATGCTATCAGTCAAATTCATCATTAACTTTGTTTATTGCATTTTGTGGCTTTTTTTGGCAAATGAATTAGATTCAAATACAAGTGGAGTGAGGTGCAGAGAAAGTCTGTCACCATAACTGTGCTAAAGCGGACAAAAAGAACAATTACACTGAATGGATAGTGAAAAGGAAACCAGATATGAACTGATAAACAAAAGATCCACAAGGCTTAACATCTACCATCACAGTATTATCATATGTGCATTATTAACACAATATCAATATTTCATTTTTTAAATATCACTGTTATCGTCAATAGTTATATTGTGACACCCCTATTTCAAGCTAACGTTAGCTGAACGTGAGGGTGGAAACTTGGCTGTGAGTGGCCAGTGAGCCCCGTCCTGGAACACACATGCAGCACGCTTTCACTCTCCACCGATTCGGAGGCCTGCCAGGATTGATCCAGGTACGGCCAATGGCCGATCTGACTATGGCACAGGGGAGGGGGGAGGAGGGACCAAAGTGTGTATTTGTTTGTTTCTTATGACAGGAGTGGACATTCCAACTATCTGGTAATATGCTGCCCCCTATTTGTTTGGAGTATGAATTCAACAGTTGGCCTGTTCTTACACATTGCCCCTAAAAAGACTTAGACAAGGGAGGTTGAGATAAAGATGGTCCAGTTCAGATTTTACCTTGTGCAATTAACTAAATACACTGGAAGCCACCATCTTGCTATCTTAACTATCGCATTGCTGTCTGGTAGCTGGTTTGTGTGTGTTTTCCTGTTATATCAGCACTGAAATGTTGTTTGCTCTGTTGTCACACACACCAGCAGGTTACTTTTACAGACACTGTATTTCTGCATCTAAGCAAAACAGGCACAGCGTCAGACCGTGACCTCTGTTAAAGAAGTAGAGCTCTATGGGCACATAAAGAGTGAGTCACATCATTCAGTGAAAACATGAGATGAATTCACTCATTCACTCTTACCAATAGACATGGTTGTTGTGCATGTTATTGTTATGCTGACTAATTTTAAGGCCTTTTCCAACTGCAAGTGAAAGAGTTACAGATCAGAGCATTAAAAGCTAGACATATTGTTTCAACAGTGAGTTATTACGGATACAAAACATCAGTCTAAATAGTTACCGGTTCAATTTTCAAGCCAATGAGTCTCCTGGAGCCCATGTGGTTGCCAATGTGAAGTAAATTTGGCAAAGTTCCTCAAGGAAAGAGAATCTGAATTGAAACATTCTATAAGTCTGACATTGCTCCTCACTGATGTTCTGTTTAGGTTTCCTTGTCGTAACGATTGTACTTTTTATTTTCATCTGAAAAGGAAATGTCTTTGCAGTCAAGCAATCTCTCTGCCCTTTGGTTTCACATTGAACCAGTGGGAATAATTTGAATATTATACTTTAGCTGACATGTTATTATTGTGATCAAGGACAGTTGAGTCTAGATTTGTGATACCTTCACATTTGATAGAGAGACAAGCCTTGAGTTTCTCATTTTATAGAAACACACAAGAAACTAAGTCCACACGCACCCATATATTTTTCAACCCATTCCAATGTCAGTCATGTCGACTCTTACAAAATCTCTGCTACAATCATGCTATAAAAGCATTAATAATGGACATATTTGCAAAGCATGCATAAAAAAGCAAAAACCTCTCTTTAGCTTTAATATGAAAGCACCCAGACGACCAGAAAAAGGAGACTGACTTTGTGGCATATCTTTACATGCTATCTATTTGTCAGTATGTGAAAATAAGAATCAAATGAACCCTAAAAACATTTTCCTGCCAATTTCCGGGAGCAATTTCCATCAGAGTCACCAGTATCAACATTTGCCATTGTTAAGAAAAGCACCCCTAATTTGGAACTATTAATCATTTTGAGTATAATCAGAATTTGACAAAGTGTTTGGGAGCAAAATTAAAAGAGAAAATGCTTTTCTGCATTAAAATCAAAAGAGGTCTTGTGGGACAGTCATCAAAAATATATATTTCCCAGCATCACTCATTCTTGAGGCAATTTTCATGTATATCCATCTGTTAAATCAACATAAACATGGATCATCTTCACTAAACCACTGCTGTTAAGAGTGGAGCTAATGTCAACCTGAACATGATAGATCAAGTAATGTGGCAAAGCTGACAGTGTAATTGAGTCAGTCACTGCGTGGATAATACCCCTTAACTGCAAAATAAAACCTTACACATCCTCCCGTGACAGTTTGACTACACAGGCTCTAAAAAAAGAATGAGCTGAATATCATCATCACCATCGTCTGTCTGGCACGGAATCAGAAAAGTTCTTTTTAAAAATGTTATTGTGTTAGTACACATTAGTAAAATATAACTCCACTTCCACCATGAGCTATCTGTCGCACACAAGTATCTGTTGACATGCTCCTTAACATGGATATTATGTTAGGGAGCCTTTTAGCAAACTCCAAATTATTCTGCCACAGTCCCTTTTCTGTGGTGGGTCAGGGCTGTCTGAAGCCATTATTGGTAATGAATGTGGAGTCCTACTTTAAAAGGTTCAGGCATGTAAAGTCACCTAAAGCTGACTAATGGAATCCTGCTGACACTGAATGCCAGGGGCTTTTACCACATTCCAGAATCGCAGTTTTGGAAATTTACACTACAGACATAATGAACTATAAATGTAAACTTGGGAATGTAGCCTCCCACACAGTAGCTCTGAGTTATTAATAGATAGAGAACGTTCAGTGTGCTGCAAAATGATAAATTGCAGAAGAGTCTTTTGTGTGGTTTCAGCAACAATTCTGCCAGTCGTTACTCATCTGCACAATACTGCAGAGGAATTTAGACATATGTCTTTGTATTTCTTTAACATTAGCACATTTATTAAAGAAGCAGCTGTGAAAATATGTGTAGCGCGTTTTGCTGGAGGGACTAAATATTCTGAGTTTGTTAGCGCTACAACACTTTGTGCCCTGGGAGATGGGCCTCTTCAGCAGGTTCACAGGGCGCGCAGTAGCGTGCGGAGTGGCCATTGTGCTTTGTCATTTCACAGGTGACTCACATCACTACACTCGAGCATGCTGGAGGTAGAGCACTCTGAGATGCTTGCGGCATTCAAAATGCATGATTTTCAGCCTAGTGCAAACAAATCGCTTTAAAAGATCAGTTTAATCTATTTCGAGCTGTTATTATGAGCTGGGAGAGTTGTTCAGATAAAGAGACTGAAGCAGGGTTAACATCAGAGTGTTGGACAACTCTTCACATACTTTACCCAGCGTGAGAGCTGTCAACTTTATTATTTGTTTTTACGATACAGTGTGCATATGATTTATAATGCAGACCACTAAAATAATGGTCAGGGGGTGAATTACTGTGAGCCAAACTGCCTGGAATTTTGCAGCGATATAATGTAGTGCATTTAAAAAATATCCTTGGGGAAATATCAGTCATAGAAGTCATCAGTGTCATCGTTGTTTGCGTTGAAAGGTTGAGGACGTAAGGCTGCTTCAATCTCAGCGTTGCTATCATCTGATTCCCCCCAGAAAGCTATACACAAAGGTACACAGAAAAAAAACACAAAAGATTGCATTACTTGAGCACAATGTTTACCACTCCATGCATCAGTGTATGAAGTGCATGAAGTGTAACCTTTCACATCCTCGGAATGATTTAGTTATCTGGCCAATTATACACTATCTTTATGAGCATTCCAAGATTTAAATACACTACAGCGAAATCTTACCGTGAGTTGGGTTTCACAATGAAAATCTTAACAGTCTACCTTTTATACAGTCTAGCATGTGCTTAATCTAACTATAGGTCTAGGTTTAATCCTCATAATGACAAATTACATTTTGGGTCATCTGATTACAGCTGCGAAAATCTAATTGCAGGTGTGATTGTTACAACCAAAAGGAAAATGAATTGGGGTCCAATTGCTCAAGCCACATTTAGAAATCTGGATTATTCATATTACCTTATTCTTTTTTTTTATGAGTAGCAGCTCAGGTCTAAAGAAATTGAAGTAATACATATATTCACTTTCATATTGAGTGTACTGTAGCAAAAGCTGCTACTTAAGAAGAACTGAGTTAAATTTCAGATACCAGTTTTCAACCGCAAGAGCTGTCAAATCTCAGCTGAATCTAGAAATGATCTGCATTTATCTGGATACAAAAAATATATACATGTCATAACAAGGGCACTTACCTGGCTGTTCATTAGAGTCATTAGAATCACCAATGCTCTCTTAGAGAATTTTCTAAGCAGTAATTAAATTGCCCAAACCATCCTTGGTCTTTTGTTTAAGGTTTATTAAGTAATATTAGAGCACATATTATTTTAGGTATTCATCAGAGGATTAGGTAGTGCTTGCTGACAACATAAATCTAAGCTTTCAGCATTTGGCTTCAAGGTCAGTTTTTTCATTTACACATCTTCAAAAGGCATAGCTGCATTTACAGAGAAATTTCATTTAACAGTTGATGTACTTGTGAAACTCAAAATTTACAATAATTTCTTACTTGTTAATGCATGAACCCTCTCTATCGTGATCTGTTTGATGTAATCAACCTTTTTATTGACAGTATCTTAACACGTAATTCGAATGACTTTGTCTATACTCACCTTCTGACCGTATAGCAGAATGAGCCTTTGAGTGTGTCTTCTCTCTCCTGGAAACACAGAGACAGTTAATAGCCTTGTAAAGTTACTACGTTCGGCTGTCTTTGAATAAGACCCACTACTTTACAGCAAAAATAGCTAAAAAGGAAAAAGGCAGGTTATCGTTTTACGCAGACGTAAATCCACATACTACATATGAAATAGACTAGTTTACAAATAATTCACTAGAACTAGTTTATGCAATGTACACAAAAATAACCACAGAACTCATACAACTGAGAATCTTACAAAATAAATCTACTGTGTACAAATACTACAATGCTATGACAAAAATGGGTGGTGTGGGGTGGGGGTGTGCGGGCATGGGGGGGGGGGGGGGGGGGGGGGCTAAGCTGGCTAAGCTCAGACTGTACAGCAGAGGGAACTTCCTTGACTCCTGTTCTAATTGTGCCAAAGGACTTCCACAAGGCCCTCTTTATTCAAAAATAGTCCAGAGACAGGGTTGCCAGGTTCCCATAGCTCTGGTGATATCGCTATGTAAATGTGTGCCCTCCGAAAAGGCTTTGATCTACCTCAATGCATATGCAATAAGGCCCCCCGTTCCACTTTTAAAGGCCTCCTCTTTAATTTACATCATCACAGAGCCTATTCAAAACCCCACAATATATCCTCATCATCTCCCAGGTTAGCATACATATCCATATGGCTTATTTGTTTGGACCTTCTATATCGGAGCTGTGCTGACGCTATTCTTGGAAACAAAAAAGATGCATGCACAGTTTTAAGCAGATGAGCTCGAGCAAAAAACAGTTGTATGCTGTGTTCCTCCATCTGCATCAATTCAAACCCATGACCTCTCTGATTGTCATCCTCTCAATCACCCTCATCTCCTCATCTCTCCCTCAGCTAAGTCTTGGCACATGTGACTGTACATTGAGGATAAGGACCAAATTACTCTGGCTGCTTTCCAATTGCCATCTTCTAAACTATATATTGCTGCTTTGTACCACTCAAGGCAGAATGAGAGAAAAGAGATGCACCTCCCATTCCAAACTGTGAGCAGATTGCTTTGTGCTATAAGCAATATACAACAGAGCCAGTACAATCATTAGACTGTAACCTTTACAACATTTATATTAATATGCTGATAGGACTTCTTACAGGACGTTTGCATGATTCTTGTATCTCTTCAGGCAGCACATTGAACCTCTGGCACTTAAAATGCTAGCAATTCAAAGAAAAGGCTGAGTAACAAAGTAAGAAAAAAGAAAAAAGAAAGAAAAGAAAGCAAGGACACAGTGACAGATCATCTGTTTGTCATATAAAAGTGTTATGTTTTCTTGAAACAGATGTTGCCATAAATGTGTATTTTAGGAAATGTAATCAGATCTTGTGAAAAACACACAACAGCTCCTGTGGTGAAAGGATGGTAATGCAGACAGTAAATATCTTTCTGTACAGCCTATTTTGAGTCTAAAATGATGGTAGGTGGTGTTTTTGGCTTGTAATATCTCCTTCTACTACATTATGTTTAGGAACAGCAAATTTGATCTTTTTCACATGCTACTGGCCATGCAACATGACAGATGGATATGTGCAAAATTAATTACATGAAAGAAAATAATATCATAATCATGTACTAGTTTTTGTAATTGTACAATCAATATAACTCCATATATAAAAGCTAAGTGCTTTAATATACACTTAACATGTAAAAATTACTTTTTAATTACTGTGTAAAATCAAAAATGTTTCCTTGTTCAGACATGACAATGAGAGTTTCTTTCTGTCAAAGATATAACACAAAAGTCATATTGCCAGTATATCAACGGTGAGCACTGTGATAAGGAATATCTAGCTGCTATCCACATTCAGCTTTTTAAACTGAATAGGAGATAAAAGTGCAAATGCTAAAGCACAAAAACAACAGGGACTAGTGTATCCATTTACAACTGTTAGGCAACAGATGTTGATCAGACCCTGCAGCAGCAAAAATACAGCAATAATCTATACGATTACTTCCTCTCCTTTGCCAAAATAATAGCTGTTACGTAGAGTAAATTAGGCTTTTCTTTTCTCGAACTTCATCCCAGAATGGGAATGGTCTATCAGCTGTTCCACTTCAGTGAGGGACAGGGCTGATTTCAAGACAGGGCTATTACCATAGAGAGCCCGGTCTGGATCTGACCCCACCAATCTAATATTCCGTTTCCATAAACATTATGCCAGTTCATCTTCTGCTGAGTTTCCCTTAATTGAGGCAATGATCTGAATATGTAAGACTGGGCTGGCCAGTGTTTTACAAGCTCTGGTAGACAGAGGTGAATGTAATGTGTAAAATGATGCAAATTACAGCTATTGTAATGTCCTCCTTTTTCCAATGCCCCGCTCATTCTCATTCTCTGGCCTTTGCAATTGTTTCATATTGTTGTTTATCTCATGTTTTAACAGTTTTTGTGTCTGCTGCAATCCACAACGACCTTTAAAATGGTATGATCAGTTTTATACACGTTACACAACTGGACTGTGGAGGAAAATATTATATTTTCAGTAAAGCTCCTGAATTTACATATTTTAAATCATTTTCAAATCAGGTCTGTTGTTACATGTTGTACACATACATGATGTGCTGGCAGCTAACGCAGTGATACACAACGGGCATGAAACAAATTCAAATGATCAAATTTAGGACAATCATGTGACTACATATCTGATGTACATTGTGAGGGTGATATTGGTACTGATGGTGTGGAACAGAGAAAACGTGACAACACAACACAATTACTCCACTTACTGAAAGCCGAGGTGTACACACAGGATATACAGTAAAGTCCTTTTGAGACAATTCTCTACACTTTTAGAGTCAGAGCAGCACATTTCATTTTTGTTCTTTGCAACATTTTGCTTGGTTTGTCCCTGAGATCCTGATTCTGTTTAACTGAGAGCTACATCTTTACGCGTCTCTACTGCGCCACTCTACCACTAGTTACTACTGCAAATTTCGGAGAATTACAAGTGTCATGAGATTACTGTATTAAACTGTGTCAGAAAAAGACCTGTGCAACTAAAACAACATGCTGTATAAAATATTTTCATGTATTACAGTTAAAGCAGCACAGAAAAATAGAAAGGCTGCACTCACACATCTGAACTATGTTGTCTATTTCATAAGAATGTGCCCAGTGTTGTAGTTATTTTGACAAAAATATCCAATAACGTGGACAAAAACATCTTCAAACTGCAGTAACTGCCAATGTAAGACTGGGATCTGTTCCTTTGAGTCACTAAAGACAGATTTCACTTATAATCCTATAATCACATTTGGGAATGTGAGGACTATCAAAGGAAATAATGCTTATCAAGCATTTAATACTGACTTGCACACACAGATAGCTAGAAAACTGCTTTTATTTACCCTGGCTTTTTTTAAGCTCCTGCCACCCACGCACAAATGCTAATAGCACAATAGCACTTTTGCGCAGCGGTGCTTGTCTAAAGGTAAAGGGAGACCCATCACCTCATCATTCCCATCAACTCCTACTCCCATCCCAGCTATGACCCCACAGAAACATTGTTTAGGCTCCGTTTAGATGTACTCTACCAGGCCTGAATGGTAGCAGGATATAGCCCTCAGTGGGGGCAAACAGTGAGAGGCAACTGTGAGTGCACTGTGAGTGGGCACTCTCTAACATGTGAGTGCTCTCTGCTGGCAATGAGTAAGTACTGCAACTCAGAGGAAGAGGCACTGGGCCAATGATTTCTACACAGCCTGCTCTCCTCCTGACTGGTGGCAGTCTAGTGCAGACAGCCAGAGCAAGGGATGGCTGAAGGACAGATCATTCATCTCATGTTACCCTTTTTTTTTTGTACATTGTGACCTATGTGAGCAAACATTTGCTGCCTTGCCCGACACACGCACTTCAGAGTATCTAAAGAATGTAGAGAAAATAAGATGATCTAGTTACAATGTAAAACAATCCAATAAAACATCACCACAGACTACAACCTAATAAATTATAGATTTCAAACCTGAATATTTTATCCATCTTTTATCTGTTTTGCCCCTATCAGCCTACAACAGCAATCACAACACATTTATTTGAGTAAAGTGATGTTTGCATTGGTTTTGCTGTGTAGACTCTGCACTGAGACTATATTAAAATGAGAAAAAATAAAGCAGGCCAATGTCTTTTTTTATAGAGCAATCAGATGTTCTATCAGACAGCGAGTGTAGGACAGTGACCTCCTCTGGCTGGAGCCTCTAAATACTGCTTTCCTCTACAGTCACTGCCCTGTTTGACCTGCTTTGGCCTGATTTTAATCTTATTCTCTGGTCTTCAAGGAAACAATGAACTAATTTACTGTCAAGTAAAAAAAAGTTGTTGAGAGGATATATTCTCCAAACCAAATAATCACAGAGGAACAGATTCAATGCTGCGACATACCTGATGGTGTAACCAGTCATAAGTATTACACTGCTAAGTATTTTATTGTCAGTTGAAGCATTAACATCTGTTTTCCTTGACACACTGTTGGATTTTAGAACAGGAATGCTCCATCTTTCACTCCCTCTTTGTCCATTATTGTCTCTCTGTCTCCCTCTATCTCCCACTCTCTTTTTCTACGTCTCCTCCCCTCCAATCCTTTCTCTCAGCTCATGTCCCTCTCACCCCTCAATCCCTCCTCCCAACGAGCTGTCAGAGATCCACACACATCACCTCCCCACGAGAGAGAGAGAGAGAGAGAGAGAGAGAGAGAGAAAGAGAGAGAGAGAGAGAGAGAGAGAAAAAGGGAGAGAGCTTCTGATTTTGACACTCTGAGTGATTTGGGGTCGAATGCTTGAGCACATCCTGTTGTCCAAGGCAAAGCTGTAAACCACTAATTGTTGAGTCAAGGTTTTTGTCAAGCAGGCACTAGGCACAACAATCATCACACCGGCTGATGGCTGGAGGATTTTGTTTTGTGTGTGTGTGTGTGTGTGTGTGCGCACACATGTGTTCAAGCATTTTTTAGGATCAAAAAGGGGGGGGGGGGATAAAAAGGTATTAAAAAACCCAAAATAAAAATAAGAAAGGAGTGGCATCTGAAATGCCTACAGTAGAAAGGAGCACAATGATGCTTTGCACGAGAGGAAGCAGTGGCATGCACTCGCATACAAAGGGGAACAAGTGGTCTTTACATGGAGTGCAGCTGCTTATTAAGACTCACTCCTTCGTGCATTATTCCTTTCATCCCCACTCAACCACAAAGTGATTTTACTTTGCCACTCACAAAGACAGCAAAAGATTTCTAATGGACAAATCCTTAATAAATGTTGCAGATCACTCGCTTCCCCACGACTTATAATACAATAAACAGCACATTCTATAAAAGTATCGGAGTGAAAAACACTGTGTGAGAGAGAGCAAGGAAGAGAGAGAGGGAGAAAAAAAAAAAGAATATGAAAGACCTCAATTCTCTCGAACGCCATAATAGTGAAATGAACACATATAAATGTGTTAAGAGTATCTCTTTGCATCTTGTATAGACTGCATGTATTTAATCTGTAAAGCTTATTAAGGCCCTAGTCATTGCTATGCAAAGCAGCACCCAGTGCTTTTCTCTCGCTTTTCAGCCGAGTGCAGTGTTTGGCCAATAGGACTGGCCCCCCGCCTCTCATTCTGCATTCATAACATGCAACATTTGCACAATGTATCTCTCAAAGGCCCTGAATAGAAGGCCTTAATACTCATGTAAACAACTGCAAACCAATTACTTAATGAATCGGGCCCACACATAATGAGGAGCCTCACAAAGGGCTATAAATGCATTTTTTGCACCAAAGCCTCTGCTTTAAACTACAATCCCTCTGCTGTAGTCTAGGCTTAACTGGCAAATCATAATTATTGTCTAAGACAACAGAGAAGAAGCCATTTTTGTATTTTGAGTCCAGCTCCATCCTCCTTTTGATGTCACTCATCAGCTCGCTGACAAAATAAAGCAAATAATTAACATGTAGCATTGAGGGGGGGGCAAAACATGGAGAAAGGGCAAGAAAGCGAGAGAGTGTGAGACACAGGGAGAGAAAGGAGAGAAGCAGGGCAAGAGCATGCTGCAGAGTTATGCTTCTGCTCAAGTGCAGGGCTTCCAGACCACTTGTGGTAGCAATAAAGCGCAAGAAGTGACTGTGGTAAGTGGAATGCTTAAATCTAAGCGTCTAAGAGAAGCAGAGAAAGAAAAGAGGAAATTGTTGTATGACCAAAATGAAGATGATGGTCATGGTGACTAGCTGCTACTTCCTTCCAAACCTTAGTGAGATGAGAGTGTCAGCCATGCATAACTATGCATTTGTTAAATTTTACTTATGTACATAACTTGTGTCTCATCACTGCTCACAGCATTCTGTTTCTGTTGATTTTTTTTCTTTCTGCAAATGTTGTTTAATCATATATATATGTGCTTCCCATGCACATTAATGACAGGGAGACAGGCACCATCTGAGAGGGTCTGGGCCTGAAATTGGCTCATGTTTATTTAAGAGGGTGGTCACTGGGGCTGGCAGTGGCAGACATCAGCAGCTATGAGGACAACAATAAAGCCAGCCCATTAGGCCCTTCCCTGGGCTAATAGGCAGACTGGGAGTGCCTGCTTGCCAGGCCAGGGAGATACAGACTTCAGCCCTTGTGTCAGCGTGGTTCCCAGTAATCACATGAAATCAGAGAAGATTATTCCTCATAACGTTTACCCAGCCATTACTACAGCCCAAATGGGTTCGCAGTGAAGAGGTGCTCTGAGGACCCGACATGCAATTGCAGATTTGATGAAGTCGTGTTGATATTCAAATGTAACTGTGATGGTGTTAGCTTCCACCAAGCTATTTATCATTAAATGTTCTTTTCCAACCCACTTAGGACTCTGATTTGAGCAGCCTAAATGTGTTTCAAGGGTGAAAAATCAAAGGACATTTGTTCTTATCAACACTTGAGTCTCCTTCTTCCAAAACAGTTGTCCCTGATTCTCTTCTTGACATGATCTGTTTGCATTCTGACAACAAGGCTGAAGACAGTAAGATTATGACTCCAATTTATTTTTGTGGTAGCTGTTTTGCTTTTGATTTCTAAAACCTGGCTCAACCCAGCAAACAGTGAGTGAGAGGGGCTTTAGGGGCCTTTTGTCTTTGTAAGCGAGTTAATGGGTGGCGCCCCCTTGATCTTATGGAAATGAACAGGGAATTATGAGAGCAGCCATGCAAATGTACATCAACCACTTTGGCGTCTGGTGGCCCATTTCCTGTGGCCCGTTGAATAATAACAATGTTCTTACCGGGGGTAAGGGTCTTGATGTGAGGAGCGTTTGGCCCTCCCCAGGTCCTCTTCATTGCCATGATTTATTCCTTAAAAGAGCAAACAGGGCAAGATGAAACCATTTGGTTTGGACATCTCATCACAAGCTAATTAACAATGCATATTTATATAGAAACTTATGGTAAGTCTGATGGGATACTGATGTTGGGGTCTCTTCATATGCACAAATGGAAATGGGAGAGGACTGATATTTCTATTTGTTTATGCATAACATTTATATGTTATATACAGTATACACAATCCACTTGGAACTCATTCATGCACAAGAACATGCCAGCCCCAAATTCACCTAACAAACTGAAGCCTTTGATTACTGAGATGTTGAGAATTTGTGTAACTGAAAATGAGCTTTGTCGAGAAAATTTGGGCTAATAAGATACGATTAAATGACAAGATAAGATAATAGATCTACATCTATGTAAAAAACACGTGGTCTTTCTGTGGGGCCCTTATGTGTGATGGGACCATATGCCAGTGTTGACCAATGGTTAGGCTCCAGTTGCTTGCTACTTTCCTGGTAGAGCGGACCACATCTCTTACCTGAGAGGCCATCCTCCTCCTCCTCCTCCTCCTCCTCCTCCTCCTCGTCCTCCTCCTCTTCAGAACTCTGCAGCCTTTCCTGCATGGCTGATTGTTTAAGTAACTGATATGCTTTTGTCTCTGTTCAGGGACACACACACAAAGTCACTGTCAAATATTTGCTTAAAACCTAGGTTTCCAACTTTCAGAGGTTTCTGTGTTTGTTGAGACAACACGCTTCAGTAGCTGAGTCTTTTGGTCTCACTGCTGTACAGAGTGTGTGAAAACACTGCGCTCAATCAGCTAAGCTGTTGATTCAAGCCTACAGTATGTAGCAACAGTTTCCATGAGACAGCAATCAGCATCTCACATTATCTCAGCATCCCCTAACAGGAAGGCCATGATTGATTTTCTGTTTTAAAAACACTCATAATTACTTGCCGGCACACTTAAGTAGGTATCATATTTGAGAGGAGCACAGAGACTGTTCTGGCAAAAATCAGCAGAGCAGAAGTACATAATAAATGGGCTGTTGTTTCAATGATGTGGCTAAAACCCAGAGCAAATCAAACAATAGAGCAAAACTGTGATCTTGTATGACCAAGTCCTAACATTTTTAACTTGGTTTCAAAGTATAAAATACAACTTTTAATCATTTTCTAAAAAACATATGATGTTTACAGTGCATAACAATCACCAGTGATATTCCACCCACAGCACTTTACACAGCCACTGCTTTTACATGGAGTCTAAAAAAAACCCACTAGGTCCACAGACGCAAATGTCCTGGCAATTACTATCAGTTCCAAGGTCACGGTATTTGATTGTGACATTGATGTCGCTCAGCACAGCAAAACCCTTTCCTTGCAAAATCTTTAGTCGTGTCTTTCTTTTTTTTTTGCTGGTTATGGCTCTTTTGATTAAGTGTAGCGATTGGAAACTGTACTCATTTTGCTGGCTGTGCACCTTAGGGATGCAGACACATGAAACACCCAGTAGGAAATCTGATAGCCAAGGGTAATATAGGATTGCTTTACATTTCAGAGGTGCAGCTGAGGGATGGGCACACCAACTGCTTCCAGAATGCCTTCACATCTAGTATTTTTTAAGTCCAGCCTTGCTGGAGCATTGTTTAGAAGATAATGAGAAGCGATGACAGATCTCTTGCGCTTCCCACCCTGGCGTCCTGACAATTAAAGCAACCACATTATGCCGGGCCAGCGAATTATCAATTTTGCCAGAATGCCTCGGACCAGGCTGAAAACACGGCTAGTGTTTTCTCGGAGATAATTAGAGAGAACTAGCACAGCTCTTCAGGTGGGACTTTGACCCTGGTTTCACCTTGATCATCCTGCCTCAGCCATTGCGTAAAAGAGCCCATTATTCACTGCAGTGGGAAGAAAACAAACCACAACATAAGGACAGTGTGAATGCTGGGGCACCAGCGATGCCTTTTTACCTCTAATAGGAACACTTTCCACAGGGCTTTCGTCCTGGCTGTCCTCTTCAGTACTTTGTAGTTCTGTAAGAAAGGGAAGCGCATAGTGAGAAGCAGTAGCAGGGAGGAAGGGAGTCTGGGGATAGAAATGGGAATGGGGGGTCTTTCTTTAGCTCTGAATAGACGGCTGTATGAAAACTGGGCTGTGAGGGATTCATAAAAAAGCTCTATGGTGAAATTGATTTCTTTCATAAAAGGGAAGTTTTAGTTCTCTGCAGAGGTGGTTCAAAAAAAATAGCAGTAGTCTACATTTGTTCCTATTAATGGCCTTGTTACATATTACTGTGCAAAGACAGACTTAACTCAGTGTGGAATGTTTTGGATGTTTGCGGGAAAGTACTTGCAACTGTAATGAAACTAAACCACTTGCCAAAAGGAGAGTTTTTGATTGTTAGAAAATGCAGCCATTCTTCCATAACTAATTTAACCAAAGCCCATTTTCAAATATTGTAGGCTAATTAGGATTTTCTTAGTGTACTCATACTGATAATCTTCAGTTACCTTGAATCCATTGCCTTTGTACAGGCCTGGCAGGCTTCACATCACAGTCAGCTAGGAGAGAAGGAGGACCACATGAAGAAGACAAGTCACTCTTGTCCTCTGCTGAGGGGCACTCCTCACTGGACCGGGACAGAAGTGTCCTCAGCAGCACTTTGGCCTGCAAGCAGCACAAATTAAAACCACATTCTTAATTGTTCCCATTTTGTGAAGGAAGTGTCAAATTGAACTCTCGCCGATTAGGCAAGTCATTTACTTGGCCATGGCTGCTCGCACAGAGGTGCAGTTGTAGTGTGTGTTCAAACGCCAAGAGAAAATAACTTCAAATTCTCTCACTCGTTTAACCAAAAAATGATTATTTCGCACACTTTCACTCCTGCTCTCCCTCTCAATCACACTTTTTCTTTTTTTTGCTCTCCCTCTCTTCTCATCCATGAGATTAGAGAAGCGCCTAAAGAATGCAATCACCCTGGCGTTAATGTGCAACACGTTCCAGATATCTCCTCTCTTGGCTGAGAGGATTGAGACAAACTGCTCTCTTCCTCCCTCTCCAGCTCATTTTTATCTCTGGGGAGATGAGGATACACAATTAAGAGGAGCTGTTCCGGGAGATGAGGAGCAGGGAGATGCCACACACCGATTTCCTTTCTCTCCTTTTTCCCTCCCCCATATCAAATCCTGCCATCATCATCTCTCTTTTGTGATCAAAGACTGCCTCTCAGCCTCAGATGGCCATTTGCAACTTTTAATGAGCACTAATATGGAGGGGATGATCAGGAGGATTTTGACAGTGACAAACTTTAAGTACATTGTAAGTTGTTATCAGTAGGTCGCAGTGAAGATTGGCAATGTACACGCTTTCATTTTCCGAGAGGGGAAGAGACGCAAACACATGCCAATCTGAGCTTGCCACTTGGTATTTGATGCTGCTGCACAATAAAAACTGTCTTGATCCTTGTCCCCGATATCCGTCTTTGTTCTTTTTTTAGATTTAGTCAAATGTACCGGGAGTTGAGGGCTCTCGCAGACCCACTGCATTTTAAATATCAATGAATGCAACTGTTAGCACTTGAATATTCAAAGGGCCTCTTTGAGTGTGTGCATGCGAGCTGCATGCTCCCATTTGTCGGAGTAGCCAGGCTGTGTGGCAAGACGTGAATGGAAATTTCTGTTTTCTCTTGTGTGTGGAGAGTAAGCTGTTGTATGAGAGGACAGAGAGGAGAGAGAGAAAGAGAGAGAAAGAAATAAAGGGGGAGATGGAGAAATAGAGGGAGGGAGAAAGAAATAGATGGAGTAGATGGAGTGAGAATGAGGGAGATAAAGGGAGAAAAAGATTTTCACTCAGGCTTTTCCTGATGCACTTGGACACAATGATGGAGATGGCAGTACCTCTCTTCCCTTTGTCAGTTCATATTTTCAAGAGGCTCCCTCTTTGCCTCTCTCATTACGTCGGGGACACTGGGGCAAGATCTCCAAGCCACAAGAACCCGCACAAGATGAGTCAGCAAAAATTAATAACACAAAAAACCTGCATGCATATATATATATATATGATCATTCCCGCACATACAATGGTACATTTTCTGAAAAAGTGGGATTCCTGACAAATCTCTGGGGCTCTAAGTGTGAATATTCAGTGTGGTTTCTTTCTTTGTTTAATTGAGCATGATCTGCACAAGGTCAATGAGTGGGAAATTTAAAATAATCCTGTCTGTTGTGGAGAAGGTCCAAATGGCTCCCTCATTCAATCGGACCCAGCTGATGGCTATACTTTTGGCTAATACCAAATTAAAAGCAAGTGTTTCTCCGATGAATACACCACATGAGATGAAAGAAGCCAAGCAGAGGCTGTAATTTGCGATTAGTGCATGGGTCAGGATTTCCCTTCTGTCTAGGTCAACGTGTGGAGCAATCTGATGAGTAGGCAGGCAGGGCTTGGTTTCAAACACGAGACACAAAGAGGGCACTCAGTACCAACAACAGCCCCCTTTAAAAACATGCAAAGAAACAGCAAAAGAAAAAAAACACTGGGCTTTTTGGAAAGAAGGAAAAAGAAGCCATTTTTCTTCCGTCGTCATCTGTGTGTGTTAAAGCCTGCTTGCTTTTGGGACTGGGTATCTATCAATTGCAAGTGTGTGACCTCCTGTTTGTTTGTGTGTGTGTGTGTGTGTGTGAGTGTGTGTGTGTGTGTGTGTGTGTGTGTGTGTGTGTGTGTATGTGTGTGTGTGTGGAGGCAGTGTACGAGACTCCGACGCTACCTGGTGGCTGTAGGTGGCATGGCGCTCCAGCAGCAGCGGCGTGAACAGCTGGACCAAGCGCTCAGTGTTGAGGACACGGCGCTCCTTGAGCAGAAGGGCGTGCTTGAACCAGCGATCCCACAGCCGAGCGGCATCAGGAGGGAGGCTGGTGCTGCGGTGAGGGGTGGGGGTGGGATTGGTTGGAGAGAAAGAGGAGGCTTTCTTATTGAATACACAGTAGGACATCTGAAAACAAGCCATAATTATACCTCCTTGCAGTGAAATGGTCTTTGATTATCAAAAAAACTGAGGAAACTGATAAGTTTTACTAACTTCAATTATGTGAAGAAATTAAAATATAATACATTTCAGCACAATTTTCCCCCATTCTCAAAAGGCTGCTTTCTATGCCATCTTGAGGCACTTTAGAAGATAGAGATCATTAATGAATTCCAGTTAACACTGAATAGACAGAGACAGCAATATACAGGAATCTCCTAGTTGAAAACTGGATAAAAGGTCGAAGAACCAATAGGCATTTCCACAGGAAAGAGACTGACACTGCTAGATGTGTTTCTTTGGACTGAGTATATAGCAGGAAAGGTCTCATTGAAATCAATAGAGTAGTGAAGCAGAGCATGGATTTGGCTCAGAGTACAACTACTCATTATCCAAAGGACTGGAAGTCACAGATAGGGCATTTTAATTTACTCATGACATTCACCGATGCAGTGTTACCGCACGAGGTGACACCAAAGATGACCTTTACATTTGTGGACAAGGGAGACTGTATCGAATTGTAGCGTGCAATATCTCAGTGACTGTTGAACTGCGTGCCCCCTCCCCCACTGTCTGGTCACATAAAAAAAAAAAAAAAATGCACAGACAGCTCTCCTCTCTTTGTCTAAAAAGTGGAATTCACCTTTACTGTACTCTGAAAAGAAGAGAAAGGTCTACTGAACTCTGCAGCTTTCAGCGCATTGATATTTGTGCTCTGAATTGTAACATTATGGCACTATTATTTATTATGGCGTTGAACATGTCATTGTGACACATAAAAAACACACTATATACAACACTATACCACAAACAATGTTTTATTATATAAATATATATTTCTTTTCTTTTTTCCAGGATTGCAGAAGTTGCAGTTTGTTAAAAATTTAACATTATGCAAACAAATTAAGTGAAAAACAACATTACACGACTGGTGCAACTTTTCACAAATAATGAAACCTGATAATGCAATTGAGATACTTTTTACAAACCCACAATCCCAAGATTCATACAGCTGAAGAAAAAAACCCCACAAATAAATAAAACTAAGGAAAAAACACACCATCATCAGTCTTTGGTGTTGGGCTCACAGAGAAACCAGGAGCCTTACCTTATTTCATTAGGCTCAGGGCTCGACTGGTGAGAACTCACTAGGTCCTGTGGTAGCAGGCATCCCTTTGCTGTGCTCCATGACAACCTCTGAAGCCCATGAAGGACGACTGCTCCGCATGCTTCAAGGTCCTCGTCATTCAAGCCCGCTCCAGCGTTACAAAGGCTGCCCAATATATAGAGAGCAGTCAGCTATTGCCATGGAGCACTAGGATGTTTGCATAGATGGGGATAAGTATATGCTGGGTTCAAAAAGAGTGAAAAAAGCTTCCTTTGTGAGACATTTATCCACACTTTACAACAAGAACTCCAATTATGGTAAATTAATCATGCTATGAAATATAAAAGGCTTATGAAAAATAATCCCAGTCTAATGAAACAAATTCGCCATCCTCAATCTCCCTGACTTCCAATAACAATTCAACAGGGTGGTTACTATAACAATCCCCTGTGTTTGAAAACCCCTCAGAAATAAAGACGTGTGCATGTCGGTGATGACACTTCATCTAAAGTGAGAGCCCTTGGCAGAAGGATAATATGTTTTCCTCATCTGCACAAACTGTTCCATGGCCATAACATAAATATACATGGCATTTAATTTAAACAGGGAGAGATAAGATAGTAAAGTCTGAAGAAAAACAGCAAGGATATACCTGATAAGTCTATTGAGTTGTCCTTCATCAACTGAAGAATCCCCATACACATTGGTCCGCTCATCATGGAATCGTCCTTCGATGCTGTTGAGCAGATTAAAGAGTCCTTCCTGGGAGAGACTAGAATAAACATTACCAATTAATGTAGTGAAAGGAGAAATGGAGGAGGACATGTGATCAATATGCCTATTTGTAAAAAAAAAAAAAAAAAAAAAAAAAAAAAAAAAAAAAAATCTGTAATACATTTTTCAAGGCAATTTCCTTGACACACTCAAGGACTGCTCGAGGAATCTGATCATTAAAATGCTGGCCCCACTATACAAGACTACAAACAATTCAAAGCTTGTCTGTTAATGGTGCCACATGTAATGATGGGTTGTGTGAGAAAGGTTGAGAAACCTGACATTCAATACTAGAGCTTCGAGAAACAGCTGTCAACAGCTGCAGTAAAACTTCAAATAAGCTCTGTATATAGCTGATACAGTTAATGGCAAAATGAATTCATTATAAATATGTAATATTATTATCAAAAAAATAAACACATTTTTCTGTACCATTAGTGTTACCACCAACTCACACTCAACAGTGCAAGGAAATAGGTTCCAAAACAAGAGGGGCCTTTAGATGATTTCTTTTGGTGAGCGATTTACACTTTAATCTGGTCCTGTGTGAGGCTGCAAAATGAGAAATGGATGTCTAATACATGTGGATATTGGGAATCCATCTCTTTCTTGAGCATTAAGCTCTGGGTGGCCCTCATTGAATTCTCCCAGAAACCCCAAGCCGAGAGATCCTGAGCCCCCCTACATAAAAGGGGCCAAAAAGAATTTATGACAATCTGTAATGGGCTCCTGGGTTAGGGGTCAGCAAACAATTGCTCCCTCTTTTTTGCAGGTTGTTTCCTGGTAACATCCTGATTAAGCTAGCAGCTTGAATTATATCCATGACATTCTGTAGTGTGCAATCCGTCTGTGCTAAGTCCTCTTCAGTGTGGCTGAAGTAGCATAGGCAAAAGCTGTCTTTTTTTCTCTCCCTTATCGTCAGTGTGGGCCTTGAAATAGTCATCTTTCTCTTTCCACTTTATTTGTCAATGCTCTTCAAAAAGAGACCTTTAGAGAGGGAGAAAGTGAATTAGTTGTGTTTTTCTGCAAACCTCTCTCTCTCATTGTATTGTTGCCAGCTTTCATGTCAAGGTCTCCAACCTCACTTTAGATGCTGCTGTTGTCCGCATGTCGACATCATCAGGAGCGTATTGTTAGCTAGGAGGAAGAGGTCAGCCTCTCTGCAGCGATATTGCTCTACAGTGTACAGTACCGACTCTGGGGTGACTTACCACATGGAATGGCCTCACCGTTGAGTGATTGGTGTCAGGAGAATCTCACCATGCTGGCAAAGACAGCAAATATAACACACAAAGGAATGGAAAAATAGACCACAAGTAATACCAACACACTGAGCGCCGCTATTTCAAGACTTGCATTGGATTTTTAAGAACCCAACTTTAATTGTATGACATGCCGTCCCTAATCGAGCAGAACCATCCTGCAGTTCAGGGACGACATATTTAAAGAGCAGGACACTGTGAGGGCATTATGATGAGTCTCGAAGAAGAGACCTGAAGGATATTTCAGTCGTATGCTCACCCCAGCCACGCTGGAGGAGAAATATAATGGGATAATCTAATGAATTGGCCAGGCTTGTTTTTCCTGACTGTGAGCTGAATGGAGGGAGCAATATAAACTCTAACCTTAAGAGAGAGAGAGAGAAAGGGAGGGAAAGAGTGAGAAAGGATAGAGGAACTTTACATCAAAGCCTCTGGTTTTCTCCTCATACACAGAAGCCCTCTGTGTTAACAATGAGTGCTGTAGCCCTTGCCATCGGGTACCCGGCACAGGCTAACTGCCGATCTTCTTGAGGTCAAAATATAAACAGTATAGTAGACCATACAAATATTAACAAACAAACATGCTACACTCTCAGAGAGAAAATCAAATCCCTCATACTACTATTGATACATTTGAGTCTTTTTTAAAATAAAGCATATGACACTAGTTAATGCTCTGAAATTTGTATTTGTAGCTACATAAAATAATGTGTTTGTGTTTGTTATGACCAAATGAGAAATTGGATTCTTAATCTAAAAAATAAAGCATACATCTGTAAACAAGCAAAATATATGGAACTATATGGAACCCAAGGACAGAAACAATACAACATTTAAAAACAGAGGTTGTCCCTGAGAATGTGTGAAAGAAAAAAAATTACACAGAAAATAAAGTTTTCTTCTTCTTTTTCAAGAGCATAAGAGGTCCTGGTCATAAAATACTGTATATTGTAGGGAAACTGCAGAGGCTGTGGAAGCAAACATTCACATGGGATTTTCTGTCGCTCTAACCCCATCCAAAATGATCCTTCAACTCAGAGGCCATCATCACGCTAAGGATTTGTGGCTGTAAGTGCTGTCCACATGCCCACCCTCCAGAACACTCTATGGTGCCACAAATTTCCTCCTCCACTGGGGACTGCCTGAGGTCTCTCAAGCAGAAAATTGCTCTGTTACAGCATTATCTTGGATTATGGCAATATTGTTGGTGACAGGTCCTGAGCTCTTCCTATAAGATGCATCACTGCCACCACCGCAGCTGCTGCTGAGCTACAGAGAGCACGGTGGCATGGACTGTGACTCCCACAATCCTCTCTGTCAGCCTTAGATGTGATGGTGGAAAGGAGGACTGTGCAGTGTCTTCCCCCGCTCCTATCATTAACAGCCCTCTGTGGTCCAGCATGGCCATGCAGAACATTCTCCTTTCTTTGCTTGCTTAGCTTTAAATCTTGTATTGTGCACATTTTAACAAGAGTATGTGCCATAAAACAATTAAAATGTTAGTGTTTGTCTCCCTACTGAGTCACCTTGAAAATTCCATACAACAAAGTAAAGTCATACGTATTATACCTTTCCAAGGTCACTGCTGAAGATGTGTTCTTGGACCCATCAGAGTGGAGGGATGATTCTGGACTGTGCTGATTGTGATCTTCACTCCCTCCTGAAGTGGCATTCCTCTTAGGTTCCACACCCTCTGGTAGATCCTCCTCCTCCAGCTCAGATTGTGTCAGGGAAATGGACAGGTCACTAGCACTGCTCTCTGACAACTGCACATCAGAACTTGGTGTGCTGACACATTCACATTTACCTGAATGTAAACACAACACAAAGCATCACTTGGTGATCATGCAAAGGGACAAACTAAAGTAATTTTAAAGGCAATAAAAAAGATACAAGGTAATAAGCAAGGAATAACGTTTCAAACCTGGTGTGTCTTTTGCTTCTTTTCCAAAAGTGGTTTCAGGCATCAAATGGTTAAGACCTCTCTCTCCAGCTTCCATTATGAGTGGCTGATGAACCACCTCTTGGGAGTTAGTGTGATCTGCAGGGGAATTCTTAGCCCTGATGGGGCCTCGGCTGCTGGGAGACGGATTCTTCTCAGGCGCTGTCAAGGTCACCAGAGGTGAAGGTTCTTGCTCATCATCACTTCCAAAAGGCACACTGCCAGCTGCGCCTGTTAAGGCACAAACAGATGGGAGCACCGCCATCATTCTTTCATGTTTGTCACTCAAATTACAGCCGTCAGGGGAATCGTTTGAGCCTGAAATGTCATCTGATAAATGTGCTCGGTTGCTGGTGGCATCCTCTCCGCCAACTCTGAAGTCCTTCAAAAGGCCACTTGGTAGACGTTCGCGGGATTGCATGCTGCGATTGGGTGAACGATGTAATGCTTGGTGTGAGTGTACACTTGTGGTGCCAGCTTCAACGTCAGACCCTCTGGAGTTCTGGTAGTCCATAAAAATCACTGCTGGTGATTGTGTAAAATTCTTAGCTGCATGAGAGACAGAGCTGTCTTGGTGCTTTCTATGCACAGCTTTCATCTGTAAATGTGAAAGAAAAAAAAAAGAAAAATGTTAATTTCTGGCAATTGAACTTTCCATTACCTCATAAAAATGATTCTTTTCCAGGCATAAATACACTTCTACTAAATGTTTTCCCTGAATTTTTTTCTCAGTTTAAATAAGTCTATTTTTAAAGAAATTCAACTCAAGTATATTAACTATCCACTCTACAGTTTTGAATAAGTGTGGCTTATTTGGGCCAAGGTCAGAATTCTTTTCACAACATCTTTCATAAAAATGTCTCAGGATCAATGTTTTAACTTTTAATCTTATTAGAAATCCTTTAGACAAGTTTTGATTCATGTCTGCAATGTCACCGGGGGGTGGGGGTGGGGAGAGAAGCAAAAAAGCCTCCCTCCAAACATAATAACAAAAAGCATGGCTTCTGTTTCTTTTCTGATAAGCGTCTTAAATACCAAACAGTTAGCTGCTTAATAACATTCACTGTAAACCATGCAGCCTGCCCAGCAGATCCACAAAGTAGGTAAAAAAAAGAGGAAAAGTTAATTTCTTGGCTGAGTGATTCCATCGGTAGCTGCAGGGCAAAGTAGAAAGTGTTTCACTAAAGTAGCAATTGATTCTTCTATCAATCTGCGGCACGCGTGTGCTCTTCCAAGGAATGTATTAAATATGAAAATCATATCCCGTTATCATCTGTCTCCAGCTTTCAGCCCGGTAAGCTTCCCTTAATGAATGCTGCAGCCTGAGGGACATGCACACTGCAAGCCAATGGCTTGTATGCATAATGGAGTGACGGTACCATTTTGCTCATTACAATATCGACAGGCTGAGGGGGGTTTTGCACACAGTTACAAGTGACTGCTCTAGACAGCATGCTCCAAGTTATTATGAGATGTCTTAGACATTTCATCTAAAAGAGCTTTAACTGCTTTAAGTGAAGGGAGAAAGCAGCTATGGGCTTGAACTACATCGCTTGTACAGATGCACCAGCTAGGATTAGACACCTGTGCTATTATAGATACACAGTTTAAATGTAGACTCCTCTACAGACTTACCAGGCATAATGTCTACTTTCCTTTGTTATTCTAAACCTGAAAACACAGCTTGATAGAACTGAGATTTGCATAAACCTTGTAAACATTTCAAAAAAGAAGGATCCAACAAAAAAAAAACCCCAAAAAACAAGTACCGTTTTTCCTCCATACAACAAAATGTGTAAAAACACACCCACACACACAACAAAGGTAATACAATACCTGGTCAAAGATGTGGCGTGTAAAATACATGCTTATGTATTTTTTGCAATTATGTTACTTCTATAAATGCTTTTGTTATTACTATACTAGTAGTATACAATTTATATTGTACACACTAGCCTTACCTTTGCTGCTTCAAGATCTTTCTCCATTTTCTTCTTTTCTTCCATACATTTGGAAACATTTTTGAAAAAGTCAGCCTGCAAAAAATGTAGAGAAAGAATGGATGAACGCAAATGCAAGGACAGACAGACAGACAGACAAACAGACAGACAGATCACTTGCTGTGCATTCTAAATTAATAGTGTGAAAAAAAATGCAGAAAGATGATAGTCATAATATTTGTGACAGGTAAACTGACACTACATGCCAACGCTAGGCACTGCTTGTTATAATGCTGTGATAGTGCTGTTGAATATTATCTGTATGTGGTATAAAAGCAGAGTGTATGACAGCAAAAGTGACAACGTCAAGCATCAGTCAATCACAAAGCATTTCCCCAAGTGGGTGTGCTCTGTGTAGCTGCTGACCGCCTGTAACATTCTATCTGATCGACCAGACTAACTGCCTTAATCCCAGCTCCAATTAAAAAAACCTAATGGTCTTGTTAAAGGCACTTGGATTAGCTCAAACATGCCATACCTCTTCATCAAAACAATAGCAGTTTACAGAGGCAGACCTATTGGAAAAGTCTTCAGAATTTCTAAAGGCTCTGGACATCTTGCACCAGTACTGACCAAGATTAGACTAAAATCAGCAACATGTGTATGTCGACTTCACTTTACTCACTGTCTATCGGAAACTGATGCTTTTCATTGTATCAAAAAAAATCTTAAACCAAAAGAAAAAAAAATATGTGCGACTTTAGAAAATGGAAACAAAGGGCAGCAGGACCACCAAAATAACAACAAACATGTAGGACTGATAAAGCATCAAGAGAAAACAAACTAACTGCTTGAGGGGAGTGAATGACTAAACCTCTGGAGCACTTCAGAGTCTCTATATTGGGCAATTAACTCAGCGAGTCATAATTAGCCAATTTTGTTAATTTGATATTAAGCTGTCAAGCACTGTCGTTGAGTTTTAAGTGATAATCTGACTGGCTCATTGTTTTCTCCCTCATTCATTTGCTTGTCATGATAAATTGCACAGTTTGAGTATTTACTATTGTCACATCAAGCAATTGCAAGCAAATATTTCTACACTGTTAAAATGACAACATAGCATTAAGGCAAATGTGTGTGAAAATGCTTCATTAGTAAATACACATTCCTTGTGAAAAATCTATTATGTTATAGATCTGAGTTCACTGCTCTTTTACTAAAGTCACAGTACATTTGGTAACCTATTGTTTTTTTTCTAAACACACAGTATTCAAACATGAATTAATGACCATTAAATCTGATCAAATGTTTCAAGTACAACTACAAGTCTAAACCTGGATCAACTTCAGTGGGTAGAGTGTTTGTTCAGCTTGCGTTTGATATAACTTCATAATGAGAAAAACTACTCCACTGAACAAATGAAATTGTGTGTATACCTTTTGTTGTTGCAGGGGGCCATGGTCAGGACTATATTCCTTCATGCTGATTTCTATGCACTCCACATCTCTCAGAAGCTCAAGGTTTCTCATTTTCGCTCGTGCTTCCCTGTCAGAGATTTCCTTGAGATAACTGCGCAGTTTGGAACACTTTATCTGTGAGCTGAAGGCAGTGGAGAACTATTATTCAAAAGAAATATTATCTAAGAGCATTGTCAAAAAATAAGAGCTTGACTTCTCACAAGAAAAGGTTAAGCACAATATGTTTTAAATTTAAATATAATTCTCAGCTCTCATATCAACCTAAGCTTTGCTGTTTTGACCTGGCATGTTAATATTTATGAGAATCAATTTACAATGAAAACAAGACTGTTCTGCTTATCCAAAGAGGCACTGTGGCTATAACACACTTGAGTACAACAGTGATATTTTTGAATAAAATATTTCATATTAACAGAATTATCTGAACCTTTTTTTAATTTGTCCAAATAAAAATACCAACATCTAACCTCATATATTTAAATGACCACTTAACGTGACAGTCAATGGATAAGAATAATGTCAGGTAAAGTCTTTCTGATACACAGTAATTTGAATAACTTACATTCTTTTATCAGATCTGGAGTAAGCAAACAGTTCCCTCTCCAGTTCCAGCCTCCGCTTCTCCCTGCACACACAAGTAAGAGAAACTGTCACCCACACACAGCATCTCCGTTGTTTGCTGGGCTAATTATCAGCAATATTGACGGTGCTTATCTAATTACTCATTAACGAATTCTAATGCGTATGCTAATGCTGAATCCGCTCTGCGAACAAGGTACATACAAAAAAGCACTAGCTTCATGGGAACTCTTGTACGCTTTGACGCGGACGCTAACGTTTCTCAGTTGTGTGACTTAGCTTTCATTTACATGCAGACCCACCACAACATTACCGTTGTTAGCTACAGGTAGCGCTCGAGGTAAACAGGCCAATGAACAAGCTAGCTATACGGTATCTCTGTCTAGCTAGGTGGCTAGCTTTATGTCTATGTGGCAAGCGGCAGCAGGAGGCTAACTGGCGGCAAACACACAACTCGAGCCCTCGTTTCTACCAGGCCGTGTTCGCGTTAACAAAAATTATGGAAGCCTCACCTTTTACTCATGCTTTGCTGAATTGATGTTATCTTTTCATAGTAATTGTCCTCGCTGTGAGTCATGCTTGGCATTTTCGCTCGCTTTGGCACTGCTGCAGCGCCGAGAGGAAGGAGGCGGAGAAGGAGAATGGTGGCTGGTGTTTACGGTGGTTACCATGAACACCGCTTCCCAGAAATCCCTGCTCATAAACACAGAAAACACGTGGTTCGGGTATGCGCGCGAGCTCTGCTCAGTACTGCTCTTTTAAAACTAACCGTACACCGTAAAATTATGCTGTGTACAACAAAAAGAAATGGCCTGGCTGTTACGAAAATTCCTATTAACTGTCGGGTAAGGAAAACTATTGTTATTCACCAACAACTATTTCATGTATTTACATAAATAGAGCCCCCCCCCCCCCCCCCCCCCCCCCCCACACACACACACACACACACACACACACACACACTACAAATCTCCTAATAAAAAATCAACCCTGTGTCAGGTGACCACGGTCTGGCCGTAACCATTGGCTGAATCATAAGTAAACAACGCATGAGATCGTTTGAAACATGGGACAGCAGCACATGTTGCCTGCAACAGTTGGCCTT